GCAGCACCTCGTTGCCCTCTACAAGATCACGAAAAATATGAACCGGAAGGTGTACATGCTGGAAACACTGCGGCCCCTGGTTCGGGTCAATGAACACCTGGGCGATTATAAAGATGCTTATACGTATCAAAAGCTATTGATTGCCACCAGCGACTCGATCAAGGCAGACAAGGCCACGGAACGATTGGCTGAATTACAAACACAATACCAGACTTATAAAAAGGAAGAAACGATCAACTCCCTGCAAAAGGAAAGCCGCATTAAAAGCCTGGAGATACAGGCGGCCCGCCGCAATAAAACACTGTTCCTTATACTGGGTATTATCCTGCTGGCGACGTTGGGTATCCTCTGGTACATCCGCAGCCTGCGCAGCAAGGCCGGCTTGCAAACCCTGAAGGCAAAACTGGAAATGAAAGCCCTACGCAGCCAGATGAATCCACACTTTATCTTCAACTCACTCAACTCTATTCAAAAGTACATCTGGGAAAACCGGCAGGAAGACGCGTCTGAATACCTGACCAAATTTGCCCGCCTGATCCGCCTGGTATTGGAGAACTCAAGGCATGCCGCAATCAGCCTGGAAGAAGAGCTGAATGCACTCCGGCTGTATATTGAAATGGAACACCGGCGGAACAATCAGAAATTCGACTACAGCATTACACTGGCCCCGGATATTGATGCGACGAATACATTTATTCCCCCGTTGCTTTTACAACCTTATGTAGAAAATGCGATCTGGCACGGGCTCAGTCCGAAAGATGAAAGGGGCAAGCTGACAGTATCTATTGAAAAGAAAAACGGCACGCTGGTCTGCACGATCGACGATAATGGTATCGGCCGCCACAAAGCAGCAACGCTGCGCACAGATGCCATCCCTAAAACATCAATGGCCATGAACATATCTAACCAACGTATTGAATGGCTGCAGAAGGAAGCAGGGTTTAATGCTACCGTAACCATCACCGACAAACAGGCCGATGGCCTGGCCATAGGAACCACTGTTTTACTAACGCTGCCACTGACGATCCAATATGATTAACTGCATTATTATCGATGATGAACAGCACTGCGTAGACACGCTGGCAGCTATGCTAAAAACAAAGTTTTCGGCCAGCATCACCATACTGGACACAACGACTGATAGCCGGAAAGCAACCGCCCTTATTGCACAACACCAGCCGCAGGTTGTATTTATGGATGTGGAGATGCCCCATATCAATGGCATACAGCTGATGCATTCCTTTGCCCAACGAAACTTTGCGGTCATCTTTACCACGGCTTATGATAAGTATGCCCTGCAAGCGCTGAAAACGGAGGCTGTTGATTACCTGCTCAAACCCATCAGCCTGTCAGAGCTTGGCGAAGCAATCAGCAAGGCAACACAACGACTGCTGCAAATGGAAGCACCTGGCAATAAAGCAGCAGGCACCGTGCAGCAAAAGTTATTACTGCCCACCAGCAATGGTATACTGGCCGCCAGTATTTTCGACATTATACGTATAGAATCAAACAGCAACTACTGTACGTTTCATATCGCCAACAAGCCCAAGGTGGTAGTAGCCAAAACGCTGAAGGAGTATGAAGAGCTGCTTGCGCACCACGACTTTTTCCGGATACATCAGTCGCACCTTATCAACCTTCATTGTGTAGAGTATTTCCACCCCGGCCTGGAAGAATATG